AGGAGCTGATGTGATTTACTTACAGATTCAGCTGTTGTAAAATCAATCAAAGTGTTTGTTTCATCTCGCAGCGTCAGTAAAACCTCATCCAACATGATTTAGCGGCTCTACAGGGATTTACACAAAAATGATTGACCCTTAAACAACATGAGAACGCATCACGTCCGGGTGACACAGAATACTTCATGAGGCTTGATTTTATGCATCAGGACAACATTTTTGTGAAAACATGCTTAGGATGAGTTAATGTTTAGTGTTTGGGTTTGTTGAAATCAATTTGAGCAATAATAATAGTGATGTTTAACCATTAATAAATATATAAAATAGACTTTACATATTTTTACCATATTAGAACATTTACATATTTATATTAAAAATTATAAATATTTTTTCTAGTAGACTGCTTAATCTTAAATTCAAATGTCAAAAGAATTTATATTAAAAAGTATTTTTTTCTACTTAATTTAAAAGACATCAAAAACATTTACATTATAAAATGTGTCAATTATAAAATTATTATTAATAAGTCATTTAATAAGTCATTTTTGTCTAGTATGTATGTCTTGTAATTAAACGTTAAAACAAAAAATATATATATATGTTTTTGCTCCTAATATTTAATTTTAAATTCAACCTATTTGTATTAAAATATAAACATTATTACAAAATTCAGTATGTTTTTCTATCACTTAACCTTCAAAGACATCAAAACACTGAAAATGTACCTTTTATATAAAATATATAAATGACTAAAACTCAAACATAAATTTTTCTAGTATAAGGTAAAAAATTCAGAATTTAAATGTTATGAATTTACCCATTCATAACAAAATATACTAATTATTTAAAAAATATTTATATTATTAAGTATTTTTTTCTCGTAGCCTACTTAATCCTAAAATTAAACATAAAAAATACTTACTAATTTCAAAATAATTGACCTATCTTAAATACAGTGCATTGCGAAAGTATTCATACCCCTTCCTTTTTTTCATGTTTTGTTATGTTGCTGCTGTTATGTTACTTTTTTCCCACATCATTCTACACTCCATACACCATAATGGCAAAGCAAAAAACTGTTTTTTAACATCTTTGCAAATGTATTAAAAATAAAAAACTTAAATGATTCCATTGCATAAGTATTGAAACCCTTATCTGGGACAGTTGAAATTTAGCTCAGGAGCATTCATATTGCTTGTAGATGTTACTACACTTCAAGTGAAGTTAACCTGTGGCAAATTCAATTGAATGGGTGTGATTTGGAAAGGCACACACATCTTAATAAAAGGTCTAACAGCTGAAAATGCATATCAGAGCAAAAACCAAGCCCTGAGCTCAAAAGAACTGTCTGAAGAGCTCAGAAACAGGTTTGCGTCAAGCCACACATCTGAGGAAGAGTTCAGAACAAAATTCTGCTTCATTGAAGGTTCACAGAAGCATATAGTCTCTGCCACCCTTAATGGAAGAAGTTTTAAACTACCAGGACTCTTCCTAGAGCTGGCCTCCTGGCCAAACTGAGCAACTGATGGCTTTGTCTAGACTGGTGACCAAGAAGCTGATGGTCAATCTAGTTGCTCCATGATCATGTATGCAGATGGGAGAAACCTACAGAAGGACAAACA